TAACGATTCTCCTTACCTACTCAGGGTTATTTAAAGGCATTCGTATCAGCAACATTTTTCTACCTTCATTGAGTGCATATTGTAATTTCAATCCATATCACCTTTGCGATCTATGCTAAATTAGAATGCATCTCAATTAAAGGCGCTTATGTCCTTCGGTTAATTAGGCAATGGAAAATAGAGCCACATCATTATTGATATTCGTCATGGTCCATCATGTACCCAACGATTAGTGCTATCGAAGATGTAATTGACTATCGGATCTATGTTGATGATCTTAGATTTGGCACTAAATATTGTATGAATCATACAATCAAATTTAGGTTGGAATCCTAAGATCAGTGTATATCAAATGTGTTTCTTGAACTCTAATCAAAGGATCAAAAAGAACCTATAAATTATCCAACAATACAAAAACAAAAGGTCCATCATCCCATTCCATCATTATCATGTGATAAACCTAAGAGCGTGAATCTTAAAATCCTCAATCAAACAACTAAAAATTATACATAACCAACAACTTTTAGGGTCATAGCCATTGATCAGAGCTTAACCTCAACATTAGGTGAAATTATTATGTGCGGATATCATACGCGTCCAGAGGCAAATCAGAGCGTGCCACGTTACCCAGGTGATATGCACCACAGTTGTGTACCGGGTGACGTGGACCACTCTAATTCGCTTCTGAATGGTATGGTGTCGCATAGAATAATAAACCCTGAACATTAAAGAGGAATCCAAATGTCCAATCTAAATGTTCAATCTAAAGATATTCTCAAGTAGTTAACCTAAAAGTCATTGTGACATTGAAGTATTCTTATTCAGACTCCATTGAGTTTGTCTTTCATATATATGAGAGAATGACAGTTACCTACCAAGACAGTATCCCTATAAGAATAAAACAAGACCACAAGCAAAGATTCAAAGCACTGAATATCAGTCTAATCCAAATTTTTGTTCTATGTAGTTGAAAAGCCCCACCTACCATAATTCTAATAAGCTGGCATAGTTATTATCAGCATTGTCCACTGACAGATCTACTGCACAACAATGACCTTCGTTTGGACCACCCAAGCTCTGTAAGAGTTGCCAATTCCCCAATCTTACTTCTACCTTATTTGTACAAGTCATTTATAATTGAAACAGACGTGTCTGAAAGCGACTTTGGCTTGGTGCTTTGCCAGGGCAATAAACTTATCGCATTCCAAGTAAAAAGCTGATCAACAAACGAACGCAACTTTCATGAGAAGCTGTGACCAAACGCCTCCACAGCCATTTCTTTTGGCTGGATTTGAGGAATTTGTGACTGCTTGTGTCCAAAGGTATGCAAAATGCTGCAAGCAACCAAATACCAAAAATGGCTAAAAAATCTCATTCCGTGGGTTCAATTTTCATACAACACTTCCTTTAGTCGTCTATAGCCATGACCACATACCAACACTAACAGACCGGCGGACGATTTCCGACGTAAAAGTATATTTTTCTGCGGTTTTGAAAATTTATGGCTGTTTTAAAACCGCCGGAATAAACCTCGTATGAAATCGAAACCGCTGGTAAATAGCGGTAGCTAGACCGCCGGTTTCTATGTAGTGCAAGTTGTGCATGGATGGCTTCTATGTACCCATCTGTCTTTATTTCGGCAACACCACTGAACCACTTGATCGAGGTACACAATGTTAGAATAATTAAATACAATAATTATGCAATACATCAAAATAATTATTTAAGTATATATATATATATATTTAATTATATAAATCATTAAGTGATTCATATATTTGAATTATTGAAATTTAATTAATAATTTAATAATTTATGTTTAAATCATATTAGTCAAGAAGAGATAATTTGATCAATCGTTTATGGACCATTTGATCAAATAATTCCTATGAGCGGTTATCATAACTAATCCGTAGGAAATAAATACCTGTCATCTCTCACTCTCATTATGAGGGTTAGTTTGTTCCATAGAGAATTAACGCATGAAAGAAGAAAGTGAAAGGGAAAAATAAGAGAAACCGTAGTTTAGAATTCAACGAATTCAACATGAATCAAAGTATGTTTTCTTCCGATTAAAAGCTTGTGAAAATCATCTTGCTTAAGATCTTGTGGGTTTAAGATTTATGTAAATTCATATTTTCATTTCGATTTCTTCTACATAATTTGGAATGCGAGTTCTTGCAAGAGTTAGAGAACTCATAATGCATGTTGCGGGTTCTCATAAGAAATTGAGAACTTAAATCTTATATGAATAAAGTTTTTGTAAGAATTAGAAAACTCTTGAATCCTTACACACGAATGGCTCACCTCTCTTCAACAAGAATCCAGTGTTGCAATCAACGCATATTCTCCAATCCTGCCAACTGCGCTATGATAATGGCAACCGGCATTAGCACCTCATTAAATGGGAGCGAGGGGCTTCCACCTGAGGAGGCTTCTTGGTCTGCTTGATAAAGAAGTGTGGGCTGCGTATCTTTTCCTTGGCCTTGTGTAAAAGGCTACTTTCCCACTGCGAATGAGAATTATTACAAACTCAACAAATGAGTGAGCAGCAAGACTGAAGACTCAAGTGGTGAAACTTGGCGTCCGATCAGAGGAAGGACTCGGCCAGCGAGGATGAAGGATTGCGAATTGAAAAAAAGGCTTAGGGTGGGTGGATGTACAAGTAACAAACTTTGTGTAACATAAAATATTGCTATGTCTCTAATTGGTGGCACTACCAAAAAATATGCCTATCGCAGCACAATTTTTGGCCTATCCCAGCGGTTATAACCGCCACAACTTTCTTTGCACCGATTTTAAAATCGTTGTACCCCCGCTCTAATTGCCATGCGCTGCAACAACATTCCGCAGCGGTTTAAGGACCGGCGCGGTAGATTGCTGAAGTGCAGGATTTAGCAGCGGTTATAACCGCCACAAAAATCAAGCTTTGCAGTTGTTATAGTCGCCATAAGAAATGGAAAGTGTCTATTTTCTATCTGCTTATTAAGTTGTTATATATGATTGTTAGCATTAATGGAGACATGTCACCATCTATAGGAGTGATAAAGAGAAATGTAATCAAATTAGAAGGTTAGGGATAAGTGCCATGTCACAGAGATAACGAAAATCTCGAACCGACTTTTTCACTGGGCTCTCTTCTTCTTCTTCATCCGTAACTTCAAAATTTTTTTCGTTCTCTTCTTCACTAGTGTTCTTTCTTCTTCTCACCAAAACCTCTATATTGAAGTCACCAACAACAATAACATCAAGCTTTTATCCCATCTTTGTCCCACTCTGTGGGTCGACTGTATATATTAATTAGTCTATTTATCACAAGATTAGTGAAAGAATGAATTGTCAATGTTATTTCAAAAAGATAATAAATATTGAGCTATTAAAATTATTTAATTACATATAACTATCAAGTGATCTAAGTGGGAGACTATATTTTTTTCTAGTATGCACATAATCATGTATAGCTCGTTATGTTTTTGTATAAATATTAGGACCCTCTAGGTTTATTTTGAAGCTATACACACGTGTACATCTATTTTATAACAACTTTTTTTAGTTTCAATTTGTATACTTGCGTTTATAGCCTTTTAAAATCATTTTAAGTTATGCCTATGTAGGGGTGTCAATTTTGGGTCATGGGTCGGGTTCGGGTCAAATCCGAAACTGACCTGAATTCAATCGGATCGACCCTAACCTGGGTAGGTAAACGGGTTGAATATTCGAACTCGGACCCGACTTGGCGGGTAACCGGGTTGACCTGACCCGAAACAGGAAGGAGACGGACGCGGGCTGGCTGGGGCGAAGGGTGCGCTGGACGCGGGCGGGTGCGCGGGACACGGGCGGGTGCGCAGGACGCGGGCGCGTAAACCCAAGTTGTCTCTACATCTTCTAAGAGCCTATAAGATATAGTTGAGCCTCTAAGAAAGTAATCTAAGAGATAGATCAATCTAGGTCAAGTCAGAATGGTAGGTATAGTCATCTATGAAATTTAAGATGACTATATTAAAATAATAAAATAATACCTCAAATTTATTTTTTGTATTTTTCAAAATAAATCAATTTATTTTTAAAAATAAATACATTTAATTTTAATTAAAAAATAAACAAAAACAAAAATTGATTGCAATAATTAGCATTTGTTGATCCTAAATGATACAATTAAGGGGGATTTACAAACATACCATTTTATTTCATGTTATTTATCTATCTAATGCCTAAAATTTTAATATTATATGTCTACCACTCATAGAATAAATATGAGTGTATGAAATAAAATATTAAAATTTATAGAGTGGTATAAGTTATAAGAATGAAATATATGAGGAATATATTTGATATTAAAATTTTATATAAATAATAAAAATGTAATATTAAAATTTTAGATTTCAATTTATATAAATCTGACGAAACATTTGATGTTCATCGTTAAAAATGGAAGGGGGGGTCCACCTCAAGGAGGTGAGCACACCTTCGCGACGCAGTCCACCACGCTTTCTTTTGCGGGGGCGGCGAGGTTCGGCCACTGCTTCACAACCACCCCACGCCACCGTTAGGGCCCGCCGGTCCGTTTCAAGTCATATTTTGCTAACCACCATTTATCCCCCAATAACACCCTGATCTGCCACTTAATACTAAGTTAATGATAATTTAATGACTTAATTAACCTCTTCCTCCTCAGGAACATCCACCTTATCCTGCTCCTGCCGTTATTATTACACAAAAGGTTACACGTGTCACTTTTTTGACATACAAGAAAGCTGATCGTGGGTGGGGGACACCAAATAAAGTAAAGAATTCCATTCATAGCCTCTCCGCTCTTGCGTGCAATGAAAGCGTCGTTTTAGGGAAATAGTGATTAAACGTAGCTTTTTTTAAAAGAAAATTAATTATTGTGGTGGCCAATGGAAACACGCCACGTTGCGAATAATGAGGATTATCCGTTTTCAGACCGGAGCGAGTTGTTGATCTGCTCGCTGCGGTCAGAGATATATATCGTGTGCGATATCTCGTCCCGTGATCGAGAGCGACGGGTGTGGGTCCGAGACGAACTGCTTGCCGTGCGATCGCCATCGGACGGTCAGAAGCTGTCAGGGCTCGTCACGCGAGACGAGAGTGGGCCTCGTCATAGCGCGCGTGGTCGCCGGGGGTATAAATAGGGACGGCGACGAAACTCGCAACCCGATATCCCTTCTTGCGCTGCGCTTGTCACGGCGTAGGGAGAGAGAGAAAGAGTTCTGAGTTATCTTCGTAGTAGAGTTATTTGCGTGGGCGCGGGGAACCGGCATTGCCATTGAAGCTGTGGATTCGGAGGATTTACTCCTCCGCCGACTGGTAGCGGCCGGCATTGGCTGGATCGGTGCCGAGATAGTTGAAAGTTGGGGAGCAGAGGAAGGAACGAGGAATGGCGAGCTGGTTCCGGCGATCGTGTTAGAATGAGGTGCAAATGCGTTGTGGTAGTATTCTATTACAGTTTCCTTGTGTTTTTTATTTTCATTTTTTTTCTGGGAGATCGGATGGTTTGGCGCTTTTGTTGGGGAATTTAGTTATTGTGGTGTTTTCTGCGGCCGGAATAAAGGATGGATAAAGATCATCGTCCGTAGCGAGAGGTTTTGGGGAGATTTTAGACCTATGAGTTATTTTGCTGGAGGATTTGTTGAAGGTAGATTGGTTTTCTGTCACGAGGAAGAGGAATCGTGGTTTACACTTAGGTGATTGCTAATCTTTCAGCTTAAGAATCTGCTTATGGTTTATTTAGTGGAAATGTTTTGAGATTGGGCTTGAATCGTCACGCAGTAGCAATGAATGGTATTCTTGGGACATTGCTTGTTGAAGAATACTGGAAAGAAACCGTAATTGTCTCTGGATCTATGTTTCTATGCATTTCATCAAGAATTTGATTGAATCGTGTGTATTAAGGATTTGTGTTTTGGAATAATGTGATTTTTCGTGGTCATTGATCTTATGTTGGTTTTAAAAATTGCTCTGTTGTTTATTCATTGCAGTTGAACTACATAACGTGATATTGACCACTGTCCCACTGTTATTTCTGTTGTGTGGATCAAATTATTAGTTTCTGATGGTTAGGTTGAGAATGTTATTATTTTTTCCTTGGCTAATCAATGCTGAAGGCTTTGCTTTTGGGTTTTGGGTGCCAGGTTTTCAGAAAGGATAGTCCAAAATGAATGGTAACAGACAGATTGAAGTTCATTACATTAACACAGGGTTTCCTTATACAATCCCAGAAAGTTTCATGGACTTGTTTGAAGGCCTTTCATATAATCAGGCAGATATGTTTCTATCAGAAGGTTTGCAGGACCAGGTATCCTTTGAAATTTTAATAATTTTATGTTATTTTCTATGTAGAGAGTAGGTATTAAAATGAATTGGGCTCCCAGCTTGCTGTGCTGACACATCTCAAGTCATATTTATGTTTCTGCGCTTCTTTGTTTCCCCCCTTGTTGCTTCCCCAGCTAATTGATAGTATTTGTCTGTTTGAAATCATGTCACGTTACATATGAGCTTCTGAAAAAACTATGCAGATAACATATTTATTGGTGTCGTAGAATAGATTATTAACTTGCCGTGTCATGTGAATCTTACTTTCCCATCTTGCCACTTAAATAGGTGTTTTTTTTTTCATTTCCAATCTATAATGCTGTATTGCATAGTAATGAGGGTCAATCGTTCATCAACATGCCATTGCTAGACGTAAAAATGTGAAATAAAGATTGTTGCTTAGCCATACATTTGATAATCTTTTTTTAATTGTGCTGGCAGGGAAACTCATATTGGCCCATGATGCATGCAAATTTATATAAATATGGTTTTTCTGGTTCAATTGGAAACTCATACTATAACTTTAGTCAGCTATACGAGTTAAATGAGTATGCACCAAGATTAGATGGAAGGAGGGTTTGGGAAAACCCTTTGCCTTCAAGTAATGTTGAGCTTCCGCATCTAGTGCCTGATGGATCTGGTGGGGTTGAGCTTACTGCTAATACAAACACTGAAGAACGTAAGTTGATTTATTATTTGTAGTTTTCATTGAAAGAATCAAGTAGTCTGCATAATGTATGCAACATTTATTAAACATTATCAAATATGTTTTAACTTCCAATATTTTTCAGCCTTTTCCATGTGGTCTCTCAATAGTGTGCCCCTGTTTCTAATTCTAAGTATTGTATAATCTTATAAGTAGATTTATGAGTGGGCTTGATATTTTTTTTTTAAAGATGATTGGGCTTTTGTCTAATAACTAGCTCATATGTTGGAGTGTGTTTGGATATGCTTTCCGTTGTCTTGTGTTGGCCTTCAGTTTTCTCAAGCAAGTGAAGCGCAATATTTCATTTTTAATTAATTTTGTGATTATATTAATGCTTTTCTATAGATTTTTTATTTTGGCCATAATTTAGATATGTGCAAAATCTTGCTTTATGTTGTCAGGCATTTTAATTGCTAACAGCTACATTTACTGCAATTTCTTTCTGTTTAAAAAATATTTATGTTGTTTTCTTTGCATCATGTATCAATTGGAAAAGATAGCAATCTGGTTCAATTTTAGTAATTTATGGTTACATCATGATCATCATTGAAAGTTTTCTGTTGTGTTGTAGTTTATGACGAACATGATGTGGGGCCCAGGAACTTTACAACATATTAGGAAAATTTAAGCTCCCCTGTGGGTCCCAAGGTCTCCTTTATCACCTATAGGAGAAGAGGCTTTGGGGGTAAGGGGCATTTATTAAGGATGTTAGGGGCATTTATTAGGGGATTTGGGCTGTTTAAGGTGGGAAATTGTGGAGGGTTAGGGTTATGTTGAATTTATTTTTACAGCAGTTTTTGTTGGGGTTTTGGGTTCCTAGTGACTAATAGGAGTTGTGGGAGAGATGATTCACCTCTCAAACAATGAATCAACTTGTATCTTGTCTTTCTTTGCTTGGAGATTAGTAATTACAACCCTCTTGGTATTATTGCTGGATCCATTTGGAGTAAGTTTTATGTTTTTTACATTGTTATGTGCTATTTTGGTCGTCAAATCCTATCAAATTGGTATCAAAGCACGATTTAGGACATATAACATCGAAGAAAGTGGATGCTTTGGAATAAAAACTAGAACGAAAAGTTGACCAATTCAAATCTGAAGTTGATGAATGGATTTCATCCATGTAATGAAGGTTTTCTAACCTAGAGGACATGACGAAGAAAATATTGGAGCTTCACACCCAACTGACAACATCGGAGGCGAGGGCGCTGGCGGGTGGCCAAGGAAGTGGGTGAAACCCCAATGTTGACACAATGAGGGATGATCCACAATGAGGGATGATCAAGAGGTACAAATCTTGGGCGAAAGGGAAATATGCCACCTCTTGAACCGATAACCAGGAGAGAAATGGGTGAAGGATATAGCATGAGGAGAAATTGAGAGGAAGAAACAAGGAGGGTTGATTTTGAGGAAGATAATATCTATGAAAGGAGATGGGTGGGGAGAGAACAATGGAGTGATTACAACAATCACTACATGGGAGGAGCCGAAGGTGGAAGAGGAAGTTGGGCAAAGGGAATCCGAGAGTGCGAAAGCTGATGATACCCATTTTTTTAGAAGAGAGATGCTCATGGGCAAACTGAGGAGGAAAGACTCACGACGGTAGCTTTATGCTTGGAGGGGGAGGTCTTATCTTGGTATCAGTAGAGAGACATGAGAGATCCATTCCAATTGTGGAGGGAGTTCAATGATAGTTTATTAGAATGTTTCTGAACTAGTCGGGAATGAGACTTCTACAAGCAGTTCTTTGCTCTTGTTTAGGAAGGGACAATGGTGGATTATCGGGAGAGGTTTGAGTATCTTTCTAGTCGATTGGGGATGCTATCTGATATAATGCTGGAGGGGAATTTCATGAAGGGATTCAAGCTAGAGATCAGGGTTGTTGTTCGGTTATTGAGTCCACAAGGGTTGGGGGAGGCTATGGAGCTTGCCTAGTTGGTGGAGGACAAAAACTCACTTGAGAGAAGCAACAAGGGCAGCAGTTTGGGAGCTTCATATCAGACAATGACTATTTTTTTGGCACCAAAGGTACAGCTTGTGCCCATTCAGAGGGAAGCACGCAAGGATAGGGGATTGGGAGCACGACTAGAGGGAAATTTCAAGTAGTTGATTGAGGCAGAGGTTCAAGAGAAGCGGGTTAACGGATTGTGTTTCTGTTGTGATGACAAGTTTGCATTGGGCCACCACAACAAGGATCGTTCGCTATAGATACTGATAGTCTATGATGAGGAGGAGGAGATTCTAGAGGAGGAGGTGGTTGATGAGGAGGAGCATTTTCATCTAGATGTGGTAGAGATCTCCCTAAACTCAGTGGTGGGGTTTACCTCAAATCACATTATGAAGGTGAGGGAACATATAAGAGGAGAATTAGTGGCAGTTCTGGTGGATAGTAGGGCGACCCATAACTTCATCTCCAACCAGGTGATGGATCGGTTGGGGCTGAAGCTAGTCGACATAGGATGTTTTGGGGCGATGATGGGAACGTGGAAGATGTAGTAGAGTAGAGGAATCTACCTAAGGTTGATGGTGACACTACAGGAGATCCAGGTGAAGGAAGATTTTCTTCCCTTGGAGTTAGGGAGCACAGATATAATTTTGGATACGAAGTGGTTGTAGACATTAGAGGAGACCAAGGTGGATTGGAAGGCATTGATTTTGGAATTCATGGTGGGAGGGAGGACGGTGGGGATCAGGGGGATCCTAGTCTGTCCAAAATTAGGTTTTCTCTTTAGATCATGGTGAGGGCAATCCAAGAAGCATGGATGAGATTCTTGTTGGAGCTCCAGAGCCTTGAGGGAGGGGTAAGCATGGAGAGAGAGGGGAAAGTTCCAGAGATAGCCCATACACTCGTGCAACAATTCAGTGAGGTGCTTCAGCTGCCTGAGGACTTACCTCTCACAAGGGAGCATGATCATGCCATCTTCTTGAAGGAGGGGGTATCCCTTATTAATGTTTGACCCTACCAATACCCATAGGTTCAGAAGGAAGAAATTGAAAGACTTATCAAGGAGATGTTAGGCCCAGATCATTCATCTCAGTGTTAGTCCCTTCTCCAGTCCTGTGTTACTAGTGAAGAAGAAGGACAGTAGTTGGGGATTTTGTGTAGATTATTCGGCTCTAAATAAGGAAACGTTGTTAGATAAATTTCGTATACTAGTCATTGATGAGTTGTTGGATGATTTATATGCAGCGATGATGTTTTTTTTTTTCAAATTAGATGGAAAGATCTAATATATGGAGCAATGATTTTCTCCAAGATTGATCTGATATTAGGGTACCATCATATCAGAATGCAGCCCATTGACATCCACAAGATTGCTTTCAGGACTCATGAAGGACACTATGAGTTTTTAGTGATTTCTTTTGGGCTTGTCAATGCCCCAACTACCTTCCTGTTGGTTATAACAAGGTAATTCAACCCTACCTCCGGAAGTTTGTATTAGTTTTCTCGATAACATTTTGGTGTGTAGTTGGTCTGAGGCAGAGCATGTGGAGCACTTGAGAGTTATGTTACTAATATTGAAGGAGTATTAGCTGCATACTAATTTGAAGAATTGTTCCTTTGCACAACAGAGTGTTTAGTATTTGGGAAATGTGGTTTATAAATCAAGAGTAGTTGTAGATTTTTTCAAGATAGAGGCTATGTTGGAGTGGCCCTTACTCAAAACCCTGACGGAGTTGAGAAGGTTATTGGGACTCACAGGGTATTACATAAAGTTTGTGAGGGGATATAGATCTATAACATAGCCGTTGACAGAGCAACTGAAGAATGATAGTTTCAAATTTGGGGAGGAAGCCACCCAAACATTTGAGCAGCTGGAAAAAGTCATGTCGAGTGTCCCTATGTTAGCACTACCAGATTTCAGCATGTTAATTGTAGTGGAAACTGATGCATCAGGCTATGGGTTGGGAGTAGTTCTCTGATAGGAAATAACCGTATAAATAGAAAACGATTGTTGAAATTAAAATTAAAGTAATCTCGCCAAGCAGGTTTTGAGGATTTAATGGAGGAAAAACAAGAAAAACACCCTTGATTGAATAGTAGACGAAAGAAATTAGCAAGATACAGTTGATCCTCAATTCGAGAGGATAATCTATCTCTCCCAAAGCTCTAGACGCCGCTAGAGCCCAAGAACACCAAAGCACCACGAAAATTCAGAAAACTCAAGATAACCATAACCCTAATTTAATCCTACTACATAAAGTACACAAAATAACACCCAAAAGGACAAAACAACCCTCCTAATTTAAACATATAATCCCTCTTTCTCTCTCTTTACTTAAGCAGTGGGCCCCACAGAAGGGGGCAGAAACAGCAGGCTTACGCCTTGGGCCGGCTGGAGCAGTCCCTGCTAGATCGGTCTATCATTCTTATGTAAGTTAGAGACCCATAGCTTATTTCAGCAAGGTGTTGACTGCTAAGATCAGGCTGAAATCAGTGTATGAAAGGAAGTTGATGGCGATAGTGTTGGCAATACAAAAGTGGTGACCTTACCTATTAGAGCGACACTTCATAGTCAGGACCAATTAGATGAGTTTGAAGCACCTGTTAGATCAGAGGATGGTGACAAAGGAGCATCAACGGTGGCTTTCCAAGTTGTTGGGTTATGATTTTGAGATCTTGTACAAGCTCGGGTTGGAAAATAAAGTTGCAGATGGTCTCTCCAGGCGTAGTGAAGACCCTCAGGTTATTTCTCTATTTATCCCATGGTATTGGATTGGGAGGCCTTGAAGAGTGAGAGCGAGCAGTATAAGGAGCTGAGTAAGATCAAATGAGAAGGATAAGGATAACCATCCTGTTTACTCTTTGATAGGTCAAAAGATGCTATATCGTGGACTATTTTTGTTGTCAAGAACATCACCACACATCCCTCACTTGTTATGGGAGTTTCATGGCACAACTATTGGGAGATATTTAGAAGTTCAGAAGACATCATAGACTGGTAATGGAGCTATATTGAGTAGGCATGCAAAAGAATGCATAGGACTTGGTAACCAGTTGTGATGTGTGCCAGAGACACAAATACTTGGCTATGGCACCAAGTGGTCTTCTAATGCTTTTAGCATTACTCGAAAAGGCATGGGAAGAGATGACCATGGACTTTATTGAGGGACTACTTAGATCAAAAGGGTTCACTGTGATTTTAGTGGTGGTAGACAGATTGAGCAAATATGCTCATTTCATTACCTTACACCACCCATACACTGTGGTGTTGATGGCAATTGTTTTCATTAAAGAGGTGTTTCGTTTGCGTGGCATTTTCGAGATCATTGTGTCCGATTGGGGCAAAGTCTTTTTGAGCCACTTATGGAGGGAGTTATTTAGTATGCAGGGGACTATCCTGAAGCGAAATGCATCTTCCATCCCCAGACGGTTGGCCAAAAGGAGGTGGTGAATCGCAGTGTGGAGACTTATCTTCGTTGCTTTGTATTAGATACACCAAAGATGTTGCCAAGTGGTTAACCTGAGAATATTAGTATAACACTTCATATCATACAACAACACAGATAACACCATTTAAAATCTTATATGGGAGGGATCCACCTCATCTGATACATTATGGGCATTACAACATATCAATGTCATCAGTGGAGCAGTACTTGGGACAAAGAGACCGAAGTTTGGCAGAATTGAAGAAACATCTACGGAGAGCACAACAAATTATGAAGAAGCAGGCGGATGGACACTGGAGAGACATGCAGTTTGAGGTTGGGGACATGGGTTATCTAAAAATTAGACCTTGCAGACAAATGACTTTGGTTCAACAAAGGAATGAGAAGCTCTCGCCCCATTACTTTGAGCCCTTCGAGATAGTGGAGCACATTTGCGTATATCGCCTACGGTTGCCATCGACCTCAGCCATCCATCCTGTATTTCATATATCGCAATTTAGACAAACCATTGGAGCCCACACACCCTCATTTGCACCGTTGGTCACACTGTAAGAGGATGTTGATGTGATATTAGAACCATTGGAGGTGAAAGGGTGTGTCAAGGAAACAATGGAATCAAGGAGGTGTTGATCAAGTGGAATGATTTTCTAGAGTATGAAGTGACATGGGAGCCCTACAGTTTCATCCAGAAGCAATTTCCCTCTTTCCATCTTGAGGATAATGTGATTTTTTTGGAGGGGAGTATTGATGTCTGGCCTAAAAACTTTACAACAGATCAGGAACCTTTTAGCTCCCCTGTGGGGCCCAGGACTTTCCTTATCACTTATAGGAGAAGAGGTTTTCGGGGGAGCTCTTTGGGAAAGATTTAAGGGGAATTTATTAGGGGATTTGTGTTGTTTAGGGGGAGGGAATTGTGGAGGGTTAGGGTTATGTTGAATTTGTTTATACAGTAATTTTTGTTGGGGTCTTAGGTTCCTAGTGGCTACTAGGAATTATGAGAAAGATGATTCACCTCTCAAATAGTGAATCAAGTTGTATCTTGTCTTTCTTTGCTTGAAGATTAGCCCCCTTGGTGTTATTTCTTGATCCATTTGGAGTAATTTAGATGTTTTTAACATTGTTGTGTGTTGTTTTGGTCGTCAAATCCTATTAGAACACTTTATATTCTCTTATTCAGTTTGTTTTGTATTTTGTTTAGCTTCTATAGGAAGAGCATGTCTGTTTAAAATGAATGACCATTGAGTAAAACTCACTTATGTATGCCATTTATATTCCTACTCTTTTTTGGTTTATTATTCTTGCATTTCTTACGAAGAAGCAAATCATCTAATGTTTTCTTCTGGATTGAACTAATTCAAGCTATAATCTTTGGATTGTTGGATTTTTGTTAGGAAAAGGGAATAAGGGATCAACGATTCACTTTGATTCAATGTTTGAAAATTGTTTGTCATCTAGAAGAGAGAGAATGAGTGGTACATTTCTATCTTGGGCAGAAATGTGGGCACATGCTGACTATGATGCACCTACACTTCTCCTCAAAGAAGAAAGCAAGGTTTAACACATGTTGGACACACCAAGTCATGTTCAATATATTGGACGAGTGTCTTAGATTTTTCATGCAATTACATTTTTTTTAATATAATTTCTTTTATTTCAAATTTGTTATTAAAAATAAATCTGCATATTTTATTTTCTCTCCACAACCTCAAATAAATCGCCCACACTCAATTCCTTATCCCCTAAATATTCACATTTTCATTTCTCTCTAGTAGGTTGCGGTGTTGCGGTTAGGATTTCACAACAATGCTCGGTTTCATGTTAACATTGATGTCTAATGTCGTCAACATCAATATTTCAAAATCATCTCAACGTCAAAATGTGACGGTGTCTTGACATTGAAACTAAATGTTAGCAATTATTACACTCATAGCTTTCCCAACATCATCTCAACATTGACAACCGATGCCATCTCAACATCGATGATTGGCACCTTCTCGACATCACCCATTGCACATCATCAATGATGTGTCCTAAGGCCATATCGTGTTGTGTTCTTGTCATCATGTTTGTGCATCATAGCATCCTGATTGTGCTAGTGCGGAATTAGAGCACAATCCTTCACTTTTTGCTTTCCTAGTAGTCCTAGATACTCATTACTGAATCTTTTAATGCAAAATTAAGCTTTGCTTCTCAAGGTTGTTAACTTTAGTGGTTGCTTCTCCAGTTTTGCATTCAGGTGTTAAACAATAACTGATATTAAAAATTTCATAAATACTTGATTTTATGTGTTGTATGCTGTTTATGGAGAATGAAGTCCTTGGGAAGTTGTTCTTGATTTTTTAAGATTCTTAACTTCCCTCTTTTCAAGTTCAGATTACTGTTCCACGTTTGTCCGTCTTTTTCATAGTATTAGCCCAATTTTTTCCATTGATCCATGTTGAATATGCCTGCAGTATGGTGTTTCTTTCTTCGACTCTCTATTGATCTTCTAATTCTTGCCATCTTTCTCTCTCTTTCTCTGTATCTCTTTCTCTTCCTCCAATATTTCATTTTTTTTTAATTCTAGTTTTTCATATGATTGCTGCTCCAAGTGTTTCATTCTTTATCATAGTATTAGCCCAAGTTCGTCATTCTTTTTCATAGCCTGCTCCAAGTTTTTCATTCTTTTTCATAGCATTAGCCCAATTTTTTCCTTGTTGAATATGCATGCAGTAAGTTGTTTCTTTCTTATAGTCAGTAGCGGTCTTCTAAAGCATGCCATCTTTCTCTCTATCTCTTTACATCTCACTCTTTTTTCCGATATTTTATTTTATTTTTTTAATTCAGTGTCTTCAACTAGGTTGAATTGTTCCTCATGTAGGCCTCAACACATGGACAAGGTGTAAACTATCTCAGAAACTTCTTGAGAAAGGAATGTTAAATCCTCCCCCCCTCTTTTTTTTAAGGATAGAAATCTATCTAATATATTTTAAATTTTTATTAAAATTAAGTTAGGCACAATGTCAATTTTAAACCCATGAACTCCACATTGTGATCCAGGAAACATATCACCCGCTATAAATATTATTTTAAGGTGCATGTCAACTAAGTTAGAGCACTAACCCCTCTTGGCCTCTTGGAAACAAGGAACATATTGGGGCTAGAACTCGTTGTTAAGGATGCCTATATCTACCTCTTGAGTTGGTTAATAATTTTTATTGTTATGCAATATGAGGGGACCATTCTAGTAGAGGCTGATGTGAAATTTTAATCAGAAGTTTGATACGTTTACAATACATAGAATTCTTATTAGGCTAGGGTTACTTATCTATTTCATAAATAATAGCTATTGTAATTGAGTTAGATAGAAGACTATTAAGAGAATAACAAAATAGCTGACGTTTCTTTTGGACTCCTGTCGGATGATTGAGTTGTTGATTTGCATTCTTCAACCACAGTTGATGATTGAATCATGGGTTTTGTGGATTCACTGTAATGTGGATTTGTGGGTGGTTGGAAGTTTTGTTATTAAGTCTTGCTTGAGCCTTTTCTGAGCAGTTAGTAGTGTCAAGTAGTTTTGTACAAATTGCATCATTTCCAGGTGTGATTTTAAACATTGGTAGTGCAGTTGGACATTCAATGGGTAGAGAACGACAATGTTTTTATGAGGACTTCGCAACTATTGTACTGTCCCTTATGATCTATAGTGGATAACTAAGTTGTAGGCTTTCATTTGATTGAGTCATAGGTGATGCAGATTCTATCATATTTGTCAATTTGTGATCAAATTTACCTTTGGTTATAAAGCTTTGGTTGCAACTTCTCTACCAAAGTAGGTCAGGTTCAAATCACCAATAGGGCAATTGGGCAATCAGGGGAGAATGATAATGGATTGTCTAGTGGATATAATAATAATAATTTTTGTCATGTCTCTTGCGATCGTAGTAAGTGATTGAGTCATGGACTTGTTTGGCTATGATTAATAATTTAAACCATGGGCTGAATGGATTGGTCGCCTCAATTTGTCTGGGATTTTGGAGTAGTTGGTGGTTCCAAGTGGTTTTTTGTCACTTGTTATTGTTTTGAAATTATCTTCAGTTACAAGCCATAAGATGTTGTAAATGAAGCTTATAGTGAAGAATGCCTATTAAGAAGCCATTTAATTTGTTCTTCATAGTCCTAGTGTCTCATTATTCATCAGTTATTGATCATTTTCCCCTTCCACCTGAACATTCTTCATACTTTTGTCATATCAAGAACAATGTAACCTCCTTTTTGTTTTTCAGAAACGTCTTCTTGTCTGTAAAGGAGGGGGCTTTTGTTCTATTCTTAATTATTTTCTTGCTCTACAAATAATGGACTAGATATGATATTGTTTTGCAGGGATTCGAGTAAACAATAACACAAGCAGTCCTCAGGTAACAAAGTTTTTCCAATATTTAAGTGCTGCAGCATGTATGTTTCTCAATCATGAAGTCTTTCAATTTTGGAATTTGAAATTCAATGTAGAATTGGAACTTTAATTTTCCTGTTAGTTGGTCTTCATTATAAAAAAATAGCAAAGTAAAAGAAAGCCGTGTATCTTCTTATCTTCTTATTAAAAGGATTTATGCTTGTAGTGACCTGATTTCCATTCAAGACTAAGTTGAATGATGCATACCAACCTGTGGAGCCATTTTGTAAGAAATGGATCTCAGCATAAGGCTCAGAAGAACATAATGGCTAGTAATCTATTAAAACTGATCTTATATCCTCTCGTTAGTGGATGATGATTTTAAATGAAATGTTAATTAGTAAGGAACAATTTTCTTGATGGCTACTTTTGATAAATAGTAATATGCCCATGCCATTACGCCAACTGTGATGTCAAATTTTTTCTTGAGGGTGGTTGTGTGATGTTGGACATTATGTTGATCATTTATGATACTCAAAACCCTAGGACCATGTTATGTTGTACACTTTATTTGGATCGTCTTCTTTTCTTAATTTTCTACAAAAAATTCCAACACTTTTGGACACCTCTGGACACATTGTGAAATGTGTTGGTCACTTATTAGTTATAACAAAAAAGCTACGCCACCATGATTTTGAGAATTGTGATTTTTATATTTGATTTAGAAATCCTAGGATATGTGATGTGATACTGTTACGCGTGAACCGGCCCAGGAGGGCCCGGCTGGACCCGGTCTAGCCCAGGCGGAGGCGGAAAAGCCCAGAGGAGGGGGCGGACAAGGTGGACCCCACTTGGGGCTGATTTAATGAGGTGGGAGGGAAATTTTTGAATGCAAGGGGGTGTTTAGGTAATTTGTAGGAATCCTTTATTGTTAATTAGGAGGATTAGGAGGGAGAGAGGATCATCTTGAATTTGAATGTAATTTGAGATCTAGGGTTTTCTTGCTTGGGCTCTTGGCGTTGCCGGAGAAGATCGGAGAGTTGTTCTTCCTCTCGAATCGAAGAACATTGTATCTTGCTTTTGCTTTGATCATCTACTAGTGGAATATAAGTCCATTGAACGTTTTCTCTCAGTTTTTCCTACGATTCTCTACTGTTTTCATACGTTTTGGGCTGAATTCCTGTAGAAAACAGCAACTTTCTTGTTGTTTTCTCCACGTGGAGAGATAGGAATACTTGGATCTAAGTATTTCCTATCAGATACATGCATGGAGTTACAAGAGATATACAAGAAAATTTATTAAAAGTTGACCATCATAAAATTATGCATCAAATCAATGTAAGATGCTAAAATTTGCAGTTTTCCACTTGCTTAGCCAAAGAATTACATGAAGATTAAACAGGACACTCTCAATCAAATACAAAGGCGAACGTAATGTAATAGCTTATAACACAAATCCGAAATTCAATATTGAGATGTTCACCTTGGGGGTTTACTCTCTCTCTATGGTTCTAGGCTTAGCGGATGAAGATCTTCCACACCAGAAGTGAGATGACCACTAGGAAGGATGAGCCGAGAAGCTTGGTTGTTGGGAAGGTAGCCGGAGTTGGAGGAGGCAAGGATCGTCCGATGAGGCACCACGGGGTTCTTGGTCGTTGAAGCTCGATGGTCTCGGCGAGACAATAAACTATGCTGTTGACGTAGCGTTCTACTGTGCCGTCGTACTCCCAATCCGGTTCGTAGAAGGGTGAGAGTAGGATGTCGATCTCGCCTTGGGCGTTGTAAGCAAAGCCGTGATCAACTTCCGGATCCGCCATGCATTCTTGTTGGGAGATGAAGGAGCACCAATGGAGAGAAGGGGGAGAGGAGGTGGCGGTTGGAGGGGATGGTGTTGGGTCGGCTTGAGGAATAGGAGGGGAGCGGCTAGATTGGGGAAGCACTTGGGGGAAATTTAGAAACCTAAAATTAAATTCAGGTTTAAGTGAAATTGGAGGTAATTAATTTGAAATTCAAATTAATCCATTAAAGACTAGGGGCGGTAAGGGAGGAGGGAATTGGGGCTAATTTAGTGGGGAATTGGGATTAAATTGGGAGAGAGAAAAGTCAAAAATCTGAAATTAATTCTCATATTTAGTGAAATTGGAGGGAAGGATTTGAATTTGAAGGATTAATGGGAGGTGAGGAATTATGTGAGGTAATTAGAGAGTCTTGATTGGATTGAGGGAAATTAATGACAATTGGAGAGAGAGAAGCAAGGGGAAGGGGGCCGGCCATGTAGAGAGGGGAGAGAGGGAGTTTTAAGTTATGTGGGCCCAAAGGATTTAGTAAGGATCTAATTAAATCTGAATTTAATCTCATATTTAATTAAAATGGGAGGTTTCCTTTCTTAGGTTTAAGTAATAGGAAAATATTTGAAACTCCAATCAATTGATTGAATTCTCATCATGATGATTTCCTAATCACCAAATTCTAATTTTGGAAAGAAAGTGATGGGTTTTGAAATTTGAATTTCAAATCTATGAATCCAAGGGAGGGGGTGGCGGCTAGACAAGTGGAGAGGGGAGGATGGGGGGAAAGGGGGGACCGGCGAATGGGTGGAGGAATGGCCGGCGGCTTGGGCGGCCGAAGGAGGCCGACAGCAAGGGGGGAGGGGCTCGGGTTTCCAAAACTCGGTTTTCCAAAAAAAAAAAGTTGAGGGTGGTGAGGCCAGCGGTGGGAGGTTTAGGAGAGGGAAATTGATGCAAGGGAAGAAAAAGAAATTGAAGAACTGCGAACCTTGGAATCCACCAAGATTGACGGGTATTGCTCTCACCCACTAAGGGTTGCTCCTCTCAAGAACTCACCAAGAGATCATGTAAGAAAGTAGAGAAATTTTCATTTATAATTCATCATCTGATACAATAGAGGAGGCCACAATATATAGGTCTAAGGAAATAAAAATACAATGATACAAATGCCTCTGGGACTACAACTCAAGACAACTCAAAAGAAAGGGTACAATAGTAAATAACAATTAATACATAAACATCATAATAAAAACTAATCATCAAAATAAAGGCTGTGGATCGTAGCGATCGATCTGCGCCTCCTGCACTGATATACTTGTCGAAAACGCCTGTCGATGTCCTCATCAATATGAGAATTACTATTTTGTGTTACGTCAAGCTCTCTTGTATCATATATGTTTCAATAATTATCATATTAATGTATTTCTTTGGTCTTAAAATGTTCATGTCTTTTCATCGTAGCTTCCCATCTTTGTTTATATTACAAGGAAGAGGGATGGAAGGGGGAATTGAAGGAAAATATCTTTTTTTGGAACATTTTTGACAAGTATCCAACTTTTTAGGAACATATGAAATTGTTGAAGCAATAAAAAAGACATCCGTTATGAAAATAAACAGATATGCCTAGCAACAAGGAAGCTAACTATTCATGGGTGAATTCTCTTATCGTTTGGGGTATTGCTACTTGCGTAGAGTATAGTGATGTAGAAGGAGAAAAAGAAAATAGGGATAATGAGAATGTCATAGCATGTTATTAGGATGGCCATTTGTATCATACTTGTTAATTCTACTATAATTGACTCCATATGATGGACAAAGCAATGAAATTTATAGGCCCATGGGAAAATCTTTTTCCTATATTGAAAGCCCAAACAAGGATGGGCTAGATTGGACCTTCTATTGACTGAATCAAGTGCCTTTTGTATGTGACAACTAATAATCCGTTAAGCCTACCACCACCTATCCTAACTCTTCCCCACCGAACTATAGCTTTTTTATGGATGAAACCCTCATTTGCTTATTATAAGTTCAAACTACCTTCAATTCTCCTTCATAGATAAAAGCTTCTTGCATTTTTCACCTTCATCTCTTTGGGTCCTATGTCGTGAATGCATACCCTCACGATGTGAGCCTCTTCTCCGCAACATCTATCGAATGGATATGCATCAATCTTCCATTTTCCCTTATGCTACACCATTAGATCAAGAGTTTGCTATTTTAAATGCTCAAGGACTTGATTTTTGGGAAAACTAATAGAATACATGCCTTTCTTAATATTTTTTTTTTCATGTGCGATTCCTCCTAAAGTAAAGGAGGGATCAATGAGGTACCATTCCTTCTCAGGAAGAGTCCCAAGTAATGATGTAAGGAAAACCAGTACAGAGAAATATGGATTTTAAGAGAAAGGTAAAGTTCAAGGAGGGAGAAGAAGAGGAATGAGCAAATATTGGAGCATTTGGGAAGGTTGGGGAGGATGCCTCCTTGGGTTGCAAATGGCAGAGAAAGACTGAGATAGTTCATTTGAAGGAGAGGATCCCCAAATTTTTTGCTATGAATTATCATATGGCTTGTTTCTCAACCGACGTCCATTCTTATCACATTTGATGTAGTATGGTCGATGAATGTTACATTTATCTTGTGAAGCACATGTATCTTCTTTGCTCCAGGTGGTAAGGATATTGTTTCATCAAATGATAGTTATGGCTTGAAACCTTTGTTTTGTCCCAATACATTTTGTTTTTTTTTTTTGTAATGTTGTCTTTAACCCATTCTCAAAATCAATTTGGATTCATGCCGGGTAGATAGACTATGGAAGCCATACATTTATTAAGAGGTTTGATGGAGAAATATAAAGAAAATAAGGAGGATCTACATATGATATTTATTGATTTAGAAAAAGCATATGATAAAGTTCCAAGAGAAGTGCTATGGAGAGTTCTTGAAAAGAAAGGAGGTAGTAATGCTTATATTCAAATCATTAAAGACATGTATGCAGGAGTTTTTACTTGTGTTCAAACACAAGGTGGTTTGACCAAGTATTTCCCTATTTCGGTTGGGTTACATCAAGGATTAGCCTTAAGTCCATATCTTTTTGCTCTAGTCATGGATGTTCTCACTAGACATTTGCAAGAGGATGTACCTTGGTGTATGCTTTTAGCTGATGATATTCTTCTTGTTGATAAGACTAGAGAGGGAGTTGAAGGTAAACTTGAATTATGGAGGTCAACCTTAGAGTCTAAAGGATTTCGCTTGAATAGATCTAAAACAGAATGTGGAGTGTAATTTTAGTAGTAATAGACCTAGTGAGGGGATTGTGACTTTGGGCGATCAAGTTAGTAATAAGAGTACGCTTTTTAGATATCAGGTGGATGGGTGGCTTTATCCTTAAAGATAGGATACGTAATGAGCATATGCGTTAAAAGGTTGGAGTAGCTCCAGTAGAAGATAAGATTAGAGAAAGTCGACTTAGATGGTTTGGTCACATAAAATGACGGCCTTCCGATGATCTGGTTAGGAAAAGTAGAGGTATTAGATTTGACTTATGTTAAGAAAGGTTGAGGCAGACCTAAAAAAGCTTGGTTAGAAAACATTATGAATGACCTTTCTTTTTTAGATCTAAACAAGAATTTGACTTTTAATAGAACACAATGGAGAAAAAGGATTCATGTAGCCGACCCCACGTAGTGGGATTAAGGCTTGATGTTGTTGTTGTTGTTGTTGTCGTCGTCGTCGTCTTTAATCCATTCATTCATTGGGCAAAAAAACAAGCCTTTGACCACCTAGATTTTTTGGCAAATTGCAAAAACAATAAGAGTGGACTATCATGACGGTATTTTAACTGAATTTGATTGAAATGCATAGTCTACCCACAAGACAATAGCTTGCCTCATTGGGATAACACCATTAGTTGACTCTATATTTGCAATCACTTTGGGTTGCTGTTTTCCCTCTGATTATTGATAACCACTTAACTTGGTGATGTATGATATTGTCTTTGGTGTTTATATGAGTTTAGTGGTATCTTTGCTCAACATGCTCTAGTTGTTCATACCAGTATACCACTCATGTTTCATTGAACTTATTGGCCTGTTTGCCTAATCTACGTATCACTTCATGTGTATGATGATATCTATAAACAAATTAGAATAGTTATAGTTTGTTTTTGTCATTAAGTGCAGATATACTAGAGCTTCATTTTTTTGGGTACTATGCTTTGTTAGAATTAAAGCCACTACTACTCTTAAATAGATGTTGACAAGTTGCAATATGAGTGTTTCCCGTGGCCTTAGTTACACATTTAATTGAGGCATTCCATCTCTTTTTTCTATTCAAATCAAAATTGTGTTATGAGTTTTTGAATAGCAAAGCTAAAAAGTATGACCAAACCATATATTGGCCACCAGGTTCTTCAGGCTTATTTTTTTAACACAACTGTAAATCATTTAAAAGATGTTTGTCATATTTTTTTAAAGCAAATGTAAATCATTTAAAAGATGGCTTGATCCATTGGTAATCATCATCAATTATTTAGGATCAGCTTTATGACTCTTTATTTGTCATTTAAATTTTCCTTACATTTTTATTTGTAACCCTTGGACAGTAATTTTATTTACTTATCTTATGTGTATATTTTCTACCCTTCATGGTCTATATGTCCAAATCATTATATTTTATTTTCAACTACCTTATATTTCAATGTATGGTACTCCTACAATCCTCTTACATAGCTATTTTCTAATATTGTTTCTAGTTTTGTCACAAATACAACTTAGCTTTCTTATTTAATCATGTTAGTATTGCCATTCTCCTATTTAACCATTTTTTAATATTCTTTCTAGTTTTTATACCTACATTTTGAACCTTATCATTTATGCCATGCTTAAATTAGCTATTAGTGTTTTTTAGGTGCCTAGTTCTCTGGTCAATACATTATCTGTCATAATTACAATTTTACTGAAATTTATCTAGGTGTCCACAATTTTTTTTCATCACATAATAGCTCTTTTTTTATTGCCGAACACGTTGGTCCATATAATTAGTCAGCCTAATTGCAATTTTGTTATAATTTGTCTTTTTTATCTCTATAATTATCTCTTATAACATAACACTCTATATGCACATTCTTTATTTAAATTATCTAGCTTGAACTCTAAAAATCATATCCCTTATATTTTCCTATTCTTCTATATAATAGATCCAAGATATTTCAACCTATCACGCCTAGGTATCACTTTATCTTCTAGCATTAATAATTTCCTATATCACACCAACTAAACATGTATATCATTTTCTTAATATTTATTCTAATTTATCTTCTAGCAATATTTATTGGTGATTGCCTAAATCAAACCAACTAAATTTCTATATCATTATATTATATGTTCTACTTATGCTAGATCTTTAATCTTTTAAATATTTTATGTATCATTCAACTTTTCATATATTTCAGTAAAATTTCCCCAGTTATAACTATATCACTTATGAAAAACATGCATTCGAGCTCTTCAATTCAAATATTATTTATGATGTCACCATTTTAAATTTAACATATAAAAAAAGATGAAAATATAATGCTAATCTTTAATGTTATCTTACTATAATTGTAAATTTTGGTCAACTCAACTATTTGTAATACTAATCAATGCTCTATTATACATATTTTTAATAACTTCAATGTTCCTTTCACATTCACTTTTTCCTCCTAATATGCACCACATCATATTAAGAAATTTGTTTGCTTTGTGCTTTTTTTGGCTCATTGGCTTAGCACAAAATTCACTTTCATAATGAATCTTCCTGGCATGAAGCTAATTTGACTCTTTTAAACTTTTTTTAATTTTTGGCAGTCTTTGTTTCATTTCATTCCCCTAACTTCATTGTATATGATTCATTTATAATTATCATAATGTTATCTTTTCTTCTGAAGTACTAATATCAAAATACTTCTACAATTATTTGATATCTTATTAGTATCTAAAGCTTCATTAAAATATTTGTTCAATTTCACCCGTGACTTTTCAAATCCAAGTAGATATCTTATTATTTGAATCTAAAGCTTCACCTTTATGCAACTTCATTTCTTTTTTAATTCAACTTCATTTATTTTTATCTATATATAATTGATTTTATTTTTTTCAAATAATTTATTAAAATTCTTAATCAATAAATTCTCAAAGAAGCTTTCCATTTTCAAATGTCCTTATTATCTTCGTTTTTAATTAAGATTTTATTATATTTTTTAGTGCATCTAATCTATTTAAAATAGATACATTTCTTGTGTCCTATTTTAGCTATTTTATATGATATCTTTTTCTCCTCCTTCGATATTTAGCCTATTTTATAAATCATTAAAATTATTGTAACTTTTGCTTTGCTCACTATATTCCTCGCAAAACTTCTAGCCTTTTTATGTAAATGTTTTTTGTATAATAAAAATCGTTCATATACTTTAAGCACGGACTTAAGATTTTATGGCTGGCTAATCAATTTTTTATCTATGCGATTTAACATGTCTGTTCCCAGCATCGTTTTGATTAACCACTGGTCGGCTGTGATAAGTTGCTTTGTATATCCTAGGAATAAACCTCTCTTACTAAATGTAAAAAGTCTTACATAGCTATTTTCTAATATTGTTTCTATGCGATTTAACATGTCTGTTCCCAGCATCGTTTTGATTAACCACTGGTCTGCTGTGATAAGTTGCTTTGCTCTGCGCAGAAATTGTAATAAGCTCTTTGGTTTTGTTTCTCGTGTGCTAATAATTTTCTGCAAATCTTATATCCTAGGAAAAAACCTCTCTTATTAGATGTAAAAAGAATTATAAATAAGTCCGGCCATTTCTTACTTACAAGAAAGCTTCAGTAATTTTAATTGAAATCGTACTTGACTATTGAACTCAACATAGCCATCCATTACATATGATGATGAAGTGCTTTTGTAGCGGTATTTTTGGAACCGAAATAGTTTGGGTTTTTTCCATTGAAGAGGAATGTAATCATTTTCGCTAATCATGATTTTTCCGGATGTACTGCAGCAATATATTTGGCAAGACAGTATCGATCCTGACAGAATGACATACGAGGTATGCCTATTTATTTATTGGCCTACCCATTTTCTTCGTTTTCTTAATTTTGTTGTAAAAAATTCCGCCTATTTATATTATTAAAAATGTTCTCTTAAGTTCGAAGGAATACTGAACTTTGTGGTGCTTGCTCGACCAACACAACTTGACCGAATAAAACTCTCTTAGGCTTCGTTTGGGATAGCTTTTTTCCTGTTTTCTAAAGCAGTTTTCTAGTACAAAAATTAAATTTTCTGTATTAAGAAGCCGCTTTAAGAATCAGGAAGAAAGCCGTCCCAAACAAAGTCTTAAGTTTTATTTGGGCCCCTTGAGTATACTTAGGCTTCGTTTGGGACGGCTTTCTTATTGCTTCTTAAAGCAACTTTCTAATACAAAATTAAAAAATTTTGTACTAAAAAACTACTTTAAAAAGCAGAAAGAAAGCCGTCCCAAACGAAGCCTTAGTCTCTGCTAGTGCTTATTTTAATATGTTTCACCGGCAATTTATTATTATTTTTTTTAATCAAAAGGAACTGCTAGATCTTGGCGAATCAGTTGGAAGTCAAAGTAGAGGTCTTTCTCAAGAGCGTATATCTTCACTTCCCGTCACAAAATATAAATGCAGCTTCTTTTCCAGAAAGAAGAAACAGAGCGAAAGGTAACTTTCTGTTTCTCTTTGTATCTTACGTATCTTCCTGAATCTGTATTTAATAAAATGGAGCTTTTTTATGGGTGGCAGGTGTGTAATTTGCCAGATGAACTATAAAAGAAGGGATCGGCAGATGACTCTACCATGCAAGCATGTCTACCACTCTGGATGCGTTAGTAGATGGCTTAGTATAAACAAGGTGTGTTTTTGATAAGTCCATCCATCTATACGATAAACTTTGCATAGTTTTCGTGTAACCGCTTAATTGTTTAATTATTATTGGGCCTGCTATTTATGATTCAGGCCTGCCCAGTTTGCTTTGCCGAGGTTCCTAACGACAACAAGCCCATGCAATAGTTAGAACATGGCGAAAGGTACAGACCCGTCAGGTTCTCTTAAAACAAGTTTTAGATGGTTGCCCGCATCATTTGTTTTCTTATTATGTTTGCGCTTTTGAAGTAGTAAAATTGGTTGTAGTTTCTTGGTGCAAGTGGGAAGGGTAGCAGCATCTCAGTAGTCTTTAGTTGTTAGTTTGAAATGAAACTTAATATGTCATATTTGTAGGTTTTACAGGCTTTTTTCGTCTGGGGGGGAAAGTTTATAGATATAGTCCTTGTGTAAGGATCAGGAGGAAAACGAATCATATGGTTTGGAGGTGTTTTTTTAGTTTGTAAATGATTTTTTTTTCTTTTTTTTTTGCTGTGGCATGGGTTTGCGTGATGCAGTGTGTTCTCTTCTTATTAATCGGCATGTTGTCAGCTAATATTTAATTGTGCTGCTTTTCTGTTTCAGTACCTCGATTATTCTTTTGCAAAAAAAAAAAAAAAAAAAAAAAAAAAAATCGATTTATCACATTTTATTTGAATGATTCATGCTGAGATTTCTTAGTACTGATATTAGCACTTTTTTTTTAATAGAAATGTAGCCATTATTTGGTATTGCTTTATGGTTCAATAAGAGTAAAGGTGTGCGATTTATATTATAACACAATATCCGTATTAAAATATTAAACAAGTTAAAAATACTTAAAAATATATATAGTCAATTTTTAGATTAATGGCTGCATATATCTTTATAAAAATATTAGTTTGGTTACAAAAGTTTTTTTTTTATATAAAAAAGTGAGTAAATTTTATTTTCAGTCAATACTTTAACAAGCTGTGAAAGTCAAAGCAATGAACAAACGATAATATTATCACTTCTCATCATTTAATAATATTTTTGTAAATAAATATGTTTATTATCGTCTTATGAAATCCTTTAAATTTTAAATTTTAAAAGCAAATAAAATGTTGAGCATTCTAAATGTGATTTTGTACATTTAATTTATTAAATTGATATTAAGATTTATGTTAGTGATATATTATTTGAATATAATTTCACCATAACGAAATTAATAATAATTTGTGATTAAAGCTAGGTGCTATGGTTTATTAAAGCGTTGAAATAAACCAACTTTAAAGATTATATCTTTATGGTTTGCTATCGAAGATGATAAATCAATAGCATAAACTAGCTGACGTTAATCTACTTATAAAACACCTGGAGATACGAAATTATCAGATAATTTACAAAATTAAATCTAACATTCTTAATTACATATCTAAATTATAATAAATGTTATTGCATTATCATTATTGTTTTTTTGGTGAATTATCTTTCTATAACAAAAAGTGGGTCATAAATTGACAATTATTTGTAAATATCGGCAAAACTGAGCATATTTTTTTGTTCAATTTATAAAAAAACATATGTTATTTTAAACATCAAATAATTTAATAAATAAACATAGCTTTTAAAACATAGAATGTTTCATTAGCATGATTGCAGTCTTAGAAAAATTAAGATAACAATTTAGTTGCGATAAAATTAAACCAACCTTAATATTTTAAATTAATTAATTAATTTATTATTTGTAAAGAGAACTTTGCTTCCAAAATTCAATTTTTAAATTAAAAATCAGAGTAAATAATACATCAACCTGTCCATTAAAAAATAAATTGCATTGGGCTTGCATTCTTAAACCATATAACTTAAACATTGAAAGAAATTGGATGATGATTAAAATATACAACGCAAATATCAGAAAACATAAAGATATTTAACTTCAAGCTATCAATTAGGATTTAGGAGCTAGTAATGAATACACTGTGTCTCACTGAATTGTTTTTAATTCCCTCACAAATAAATTTCCAAGACATTCTTCATCATAAAAAAAAAATGACATCATACTTTAAAAAAAAAATAATTGTTAATAAATAAATGCCAGAAGAGAAATGGTAACCTCTGAAAGAATATATATACCTAGTTCATCCTCTGAAAGAACCAATTTTTTTTTTTAAACCTAAATTTCAATGAAATGCTACTATATGTCGTGGCTTTGACAGAATGAAAGATTACTGACCTAAACAGAGCATTCTTCATGCATTTGCAGCTTGGCTGCCCTCCGAGAAAGCCATACCTTCGAAGGTATCCATCTCAGTAGTATTCCCTTCATGCAGGTGATCAGTATGAAGAAGATATTTCACCTATCAAATGCAGTATAGTTATCATCATTCCATGATTAGTTCATTCCTAAAGCCCTTCTGCAACTACAAGATTTAGGTTTTATTTGGGACGGCTTTCTTACTGAAGCTGCTTCTTAAAGCAAATTTTTAGTACAAAAAATAAAAATTTTCTATTAGAAAACTGATTTTAGAAGCAGTAAGAAAGTTACCTCAAGGCTTCGTTTAGGATGCCTTTTTTGTTGCTTCTTAAAGCAGCTTTCAATTATAAAAATTTTAATTTTCGTACTAAAAAGCTTCTTTAAGAAGCAACAAAAAAGCCATCCGAAACGAAGCCTTAGACTCCATTAGGTAGATTTGTTTTTTGAATGGAAGTACTAGGTCAACATATTAATAATATTGAAGACTTGAACAAACAACTGGCATTCTTATACGGAGGCTATAAATTAGCAGAGTCAATATTGGCATTGAAGACATAAATCTTATCATAGCTTGTATGGAAAACACCAAATGAAGGGAAAATGAACATCTGAACACTTAATCAAACAACCCCATAATCGTAAGTGAAGTGATGATTTTCCATATTGACTTACCATAATCATAGAAAGTGATCTCGACGCTGCAAGGAATTCCATGAAATATATCATCATTTCCCAAGGCCATGAAATCAAAGGTACTTGGACAGCCAGGGGATTTCTGGGCAATCCTTCAGCGCAAAAGCAACATCATCGCTGGAGAAAACAGAAATAATTGTGGAATAAGCGTGCAGAATACGATGAATATTAAGAAACTCTATTTATTTTCTCCAAAAAATAGTTGTAAATCCAAAAAGGTCATCAATCTGAAAATCATCATTAAGTGGTGTGTATTTAGAAAATTTCCATATGAATTAAAAAAAATGCAAATATGGTTTAATTTGTTCTCAATAAATTTATGGAAATCCATCAATCAACCTTGGGAAGTTGAGCTGCATTCTTTGCAACCTATGCTTTGCACCTTCTTCAGAAAGAATGATTCTGCACTCGCCAAGCTTGCAACTGCAAAAAGAGTAAAATAATGCAAATTTGTTAAACAAAATGAAGTCTTAAATTATAAAAACATCAATATTCAACTGCAAACTGCAAGATGAAAACAAGAATAGTTACATTTCACTAAGATTTCGTTTGGGACGGCTTTCTCACTGCTTCTTAAAGCAGTTTTCTAGTAAAAAATTTTAAGAAGTAGCAAAAAAACCGTCCCAAATGAAGCCTAAGTAGATGAAACGGATCAGTCATATGCCACATTAACAATGTACAACATCACAACCACCATCCAAATATAAAAGAATCCAAGTAGGGCTCACATAATAAGAGATTAGTTAGTGCTTCGGGAGCAAGTTGGGCCCGGTAGAGTTGTTATTATACGCAGCCTAAGCTTATTTGAAAGACGTGAAAATAAGAAGCCACATAGTAAACAATGGGGTGCATTTTAATTTCAGTCATAAGCTTCTCAGAAAGCCATAACAGGCTATCCAAACAGGCAGCAACACTAAGAAATAAATCCAACTAAAAAAAAATAAGCCACAAATTCTTTGGATAATAAATGTAAATGTTTAACTGCTTACCCAACTTTCAAGAGGTCATCCCATCCAGGTTGTAATTCCCTGTTACTTGAACAGAGAGACCGAATGGTAGTTGCCAACTGAAAAAAAAAATATGATAAAAACCAAACCAAGTAAGAAATCTGAGTATGCATGTGCACCAGGGGTGAAATGGCTATCAGTGAAATAATAATAATATGCACCATCTCAATAATATAAATCATTTTGTAGTCTTTACAAACAGAAAGAGGAAGTTTCTTAGCACACTTCAGTTGTGCAATAAATGAAGGAGGGCAAAGAAAAAAACAGGGAGTTTCAAAATATTAGCAAACCTTTTGTAAGAAAATTTTGCATTTGGCTTCAAGTGAGGGATTTAAGAAAAAAAATTGTACCACCTAAATTTGACATGTGATGATGATGCTAACTGCATTGGTGTAATGCAAGTGCAAGTCACATTCTGTTGTCCCACCTCTAAACAGGTTTCCACAATTGTAGTGGAACAGAGAAGGGAAAGGAGAAAAAATTAACCTTTTCAAATGTAACTTCACAAAGCCCGCTTCGGTAGAGTTCATGGACCATAGCTGCCAACATAATTTTACTCAATCTTGAAGAAGTTTTCATTACCTGAGACCAAAAGATCGCATTAGCTACATCAACAAAAAGATCTCTCACTGTGAACACCAGAAAGATGAAAACACATAAGCAAAAATCATATAAAAGTGCAAACAAAATATGTCATATTCAAGAACTCATAGATTGCTTTCTCAAATACTAAGTGCTCTATATCACCCTTCTAAGCCCATCTTATGTATGCTGTCTTCAGAGGGAAAAATTATTCTGTCCGGACAACGTACCGTGTGATACCCGATCTGTACCGAGCACGGTACCGAGCGCCCAGTGATGTTGCGCTTTTTTATTGGTCTCTGGACATGTTCGGTGTCCAGACGAAATAATCTCTCCAAACTATTTATTTAAGTTTTAATCTACATAATCTAAGCCGAAATGTGTGTCAACAAGCATTGAATAAACTAATAAAGTTATCTCTTACTGTTTCCTAAACCCTGAATAAGTGTTGAAGTTCAACATTTTTAAAGCGGACAATTTTCTTAAAAGTTTAATCTTCATTCTAGCTGATCATTTGTAACTTTTTCACTGGAGTTACAAATCAAAATAACTTATGACTCACCTGAATATGCGGTGCTTGAAATACATCATGTACAGCAGCTTCAATATCATTCATACCAACAAGATGTTTCCCTGTGAAACAATAATAACCATTACATTATAGAACATCCATTAGAGTGACTGCACTAAAAAGACTTCTAAAAAACATTAAAAAAAAATGATACACGAACAATAAATGCATAACTATTAATTCCATATCATCCCAAGTTCCCAACAAAGTTAATGAAGAATATGATAATATTGCAAGAACTAATGATAGTTACCTTATTTCTTAAATAGAAATAACAACAAATGAAACTAGCAGCCAGCGACGAAATAACAATTTAGGAGGCAACATATTAATAATTATTGGCATTAAGTTCAAAACCTTGAGGCAAAGACTGTCTTAAAGTAGACTTAGAAGATTTTTCCATCTGCTTGAGTCGATAGTCTGCTGCCTCAGCTGCTCGTCTGCATATTTCCAAGGCTCGCCTAGCATCACCAGACATGGCTGCAACCTACAAGTTGATTTAACAGATGAAAGATGAGGAAAATGAATTATAATAAAGCAAAACTTCATACTTTAATAGGTTATTTGTGCTTCAAGAAACATGTGCGACATACTTATGTTAACTGATGGCTGTTAGGATTGTTGGCATTTAAAATAAGCAACAAAAAATAGTGATTAACCACTTTATCTCCCTCCCACAAAAGGCACACAAATTGCCATCAAATCATTCACTCGGCTTCCTATGAAAAGTTCTAGCCAATGCAGTCATTCATATTGTGCATACTCATTACACATAGATTGCTCCTCTTTTGAGAGCACTCGAGTTCCTCTAGAGGCAATAAATAGTGAGTGCTTAATATGTGTATACAGTAAACTAACCCCACACATGGTATGATTTGCTCATTTTTGAGTGGTTATTGATTTTCTAGTAAAATCTATTTATAAATATAGGCTCGATTATTCTGAAACTCCCATAAACCCACTGTAATCAAATTCTAAGTATTATGTTATATGAATCAAGTGCATATGCAACATATGATTGTCCAGTCATACATACTATCCTTCAATCATAATACAATTAATTCGACAACTTATGTTATGATTTATTAAACTGTAGTATAAATATGTTGACGTTAAGTCTATACGTTTGCACTTGTGGAGCCATCTAGGGTCCATTTTATGAATGATTTCAATCTTTGTGTTATTATTGACTCAATATTGAATTTTATGGATATTCTTTCATAATTTTAGTAGTGTTATATTAATTTGGGCATTGAGTTTATGAGAGACTTTATTCCAATTAAAAGATAAAATAGCAGCAAATTACCTAACTACCATCTCCTCATCCATTTAACCCATTTCCTTCATCCAGATATTTGGGAGAGGAAAAGAGAGGGAGAGAAAGTGATGAGGACATCAGATTTCGACACGTGTACCATCGTCGGAGACGCAGATCAACGGCTACCATCCAGAGCCTTTATTTCAAATTTATTTTGTATTTTATGTATTCTCGCATTTTATTTTCCTAATTTGCCCCTGTGGGTATTTAATCGCTTGTGTAGCCCTGAGGGCATTTGTGTCTTTTAGTTTTGTCTTATCTTGGCCTATTTAAAAGAGGCCTCATGCATTGTAATGGGTTGTTGATGAATGAAATTTTCTTATTGTTGATCTCTTTGTGAGTTCGTGAGATTCCCAATATCTCTTTGTGAGTTCTTGAGGAAGTGGTACTTGAGGTTTGTAGCTCTCTAAATTTTCCCTTTCCCCTACACCCATCTTCTTCTTTCCCTACCTAACCAAAGCCTCATCACCCTCTCAATACCCCACTGCCCCACAGTCGGCCTCCCTTGGCCAGCCCAGCTACCGGGGGCCCTCCCAGCACCCAAGCCGCCGGCCTCCCCTCCTCCACCCCGTTTTCATGCTGCCCCCACACCAGCCCGTCGGCCAACCTGCTCCCATAATTTGAAATTCAATTTCAAATGCCTCAAGTTCTTTCCTAATTTACAAGTTGATCAATTAAGAAAGTTGCCTTTTTTATTTTTATTCAATTAGTTGTTGGATTCCAACGTATCCAAAGGCTTAAAACAATTTAGGAAACTTTCCTAGTAGAGCAAATCTGAAAATCAAATTTCACATTTGAAGCAACCGTGGTTTATTCTCTTGAGGGCCCACTTAATAATATTAATTGCTCTCTCTCAGCTCTCCCTATGGCCGGCCCCTCTCCATGCTCTTTTCTCTCTCCAATTTCATTAATAGCCCATCATTAAACCTCCCTAATTACATCCCACAATTCCCTCTCATCCAATTTAATTCTCTCCATTCAAATTTATCCCGCCAAAATCATTTAATTTGAAAATTAATTTCAGATTTCTAAATCTCACCAAGATACTCATTAGCTCAAGCCCTCCCCCCCTTCCCGCCCCCCCAGCTAGCTCCTCCCACCCGAGCCCCAACTCTCCCCCTTCTCTTGGCCGCTCCTCTCGATTGACGGCTTCTTTCCCCTCCACCACAACACCACTACATCCTTCCAAACCTTTCCATGATCATGCATGGCCGATCCGGCCATTGATCACGGTTTTGCTTATTACGCCCAAGGAGAGATCGACATCTTCCTCTCTTCCTTCTACGAGCCAGATTGGGAGTACGATGTCACCGTGGAACGTTATGTCAATTGCATCGTCTATTGTCTCGCCGAGACCATCGAGATTCAACCACCAAGAACTCCGTGGACTCTTATCGGACGACCGCACAGTTCCCAAACTCCGGTTTCTTCCCCAGCAACTAGTCCCCTCGGCATCACTTGTTTGGTAGTGGTATCCTTAAGTGTGCTTGCAATTCTCCTCCGCTAGCCTCCACTTCAAGAGTTTGAGTGAAGCATCTCAAGGTGAATGATCTAGATTTTAAACTTTAGGCTTTTGTTATCTTTGCTATTGGCATTGCCTACTAGTCATTGGTTGTTATTTTGAAAGTCCTACTAATCTCAAATTGTAACCAATCGCTATTACTTAATCTTTCATGCCAAATTCTTAATCTTCACTTGAGCAAACAAAGAGTTTATTGGTAGTCAAGCAAAGTTCACTACTTTTATTAATTTCTTAATTGCAATTCTTGCCTATCGCATTAAGTTTCACATCAGAAAGCTCATATTCTAAGGCTTTATGGCTAATCCACGCATCGAGCTAGTTAAAAGAGTTGCTCTACTCAAAGGCAAAACACAATTCTCCTACCTTTAACTTTGATTTATATCTTGCATGATTGCTTGGAGTATTCCCTCATCATATGAAGTTTAATATGTTTTATTCGATTTCCACTGAGTATTTTGTTAGGCCGGCACTTGAGCCGGCTGGACCGGTCCACACCTAGTCGAGGCGGAAACCAGCAGGGCGGGCGGAACCGAGAGGAGCGAGCTCATCCGACGGGGGCCAAGGAGGAATTTTGGGAGGAAAATTTTGAATGCGATGGGCTGTTTAGACATTTGGTAAAACTCCTTTATGGTTAATTAGGAGGTTAGGAGGAAAAGGGGGGATTATCTTGCATTGGAAGTTTTTTTGGGGAGATCTAGGGTTTGTGTTCTTGGGCTCTAGGCTACGGCTAGAGATTTGGAGAGTCATTCCTTCCTCTCGGATTGAAGGAAATTGTATCTTTGTTTGCGTTCTCGAATCTACTAGTGAAATACATTGTTTTTCTCTATTTTCCTTGAGTTTTCTCAACTAAAACTGCTGCGATTTGCTGTTTTCCTACTGAAAACAGCAGTTTTCTCTTGTTTTTGTACTGATTTTTATTAGGTTTACTTGCGAACCCAAGTATTTCCTATCATATTTACAGTTATATTTGTACAATATATAGATAGTTAGATACCAATCTTATCAGATGCATTCTTACACGTGTAATGTACATTTATAAGAGAGTATCTTCATATGTCATGCTCTACAATGTCTACTCATGCATGGCAAGGTGTATTTCACTTATGTGGGAATTATTGGTCATGTGCATTGATATACCATAGTTGGTATGTTTTTCACCTATAATGCACAATAAATATCATATTGGTATAAGGTACTATTGTGATACAAGTGCCCTACATGAGCTCTTGCGCACATATTCATATGTTGTGAGTTATATCATGTATTCCTACTTAGTGTGTATTGCCCCACATGAGCTCCTACACATTTAGTTATGATTTGAATCATACATAAGTAGAAATATGCTTCTACATTGCTAATCATGATTCCACAATGAACACTAATATCGATCCATTAATATTGCTCACATTTCCTTAATTTGTTATATGATTAAATTTGTGATCTATAAACTACTTGTTCCACTTATGTCATGCATTACTATCTTAATGTGTTTAATTTAACCTTATGTCAAGAACCTACAATAAATTCTTAGAATTTCATTCTCTATTCATCTCTTCTTGATGAATTCATATGCAATCCTCTACTATATGCTCTTCTATGCAACTTGTTCCTGGGACTATTTAAATGATAAAATTTTAATTATTATTGAAGGAGAATTTCATAAATATCTAATTCACAAGTGAGGCACACCTAATTGTGAAGATTTATGGGGTACTCTATACAAAGCCCATAGTTTATGTTCAAATTTGCTTGATGAGCATTAAATACTACATATCTGCTTGATTTTAAAAAATTTTTAAAATCAAGCAGATTTCATAAAAAACTATGTTTATTCTCATCAGAAATAGAGGATTGATCATCCTTTCAAGTGTAGTTCATTCATTAGTTGAATTGTTTTAACGGTTACTTCTAGATTTAATAGTATGCCAATGATAAGATGCAAGAAAGTGGGGTACAAGTGCAACTACATAATTCAAATGTGTCATCCACTTGTACTAGCATGAGGCCTAATTTTTTTTAATTTTGGTATTGTATTTCCTTGTTTTATTTCATCTACATTAATTGTTATTAACTTTTATAGTGCTTTTGATTTTCAAGGAGCAAGCCATCATAAATCTTTTTTTTTATAATTAAATTCAATTTGTTTACTAAATTTATATGTTTCCTATTTGATGCTACAATTCTTAGATTTTTTTCAATCATTTCATAATCAAATGATTTTAAACTTTAGTATTGCTTGTTTGCATCTAAAAGAGGTGAATTTTCAACTATTTGATAAATTGTGATCTATGAAACCTCAATTTTTCTTTGAATGAAATCATCTTCTGCATCATATTAGTTACATAAAAAAAACATAATCTTGAGTCATCCTATATCAACAAAGTTTTTTCTCGAATCTATTTATCCATCTTATTGGTACACCATACATGATAAATCAGACATGTCCAAAAAAATCGAGTCTATTTTCAATAACTTATCTTAACAAATAACAATTCTATTGTCAACTCTAACATTATCATCTTGCACTGATCCTTTCTAATTCTATCACGCATTCATCTTAACATTCTCATTCGCATTTTATGTCATACTTAACTAGGGTGCATATCTACTTCTTTGTTTCCCAACAAACAAATCATATAAATTTATTGAGAATTTTGCAGTTTTATTACACATACTTTTGAATCCTTAAAACATAATATTATAATGGCACCTATCAATTTTAGCCATTAAGCTTGAACCCTAGAAGTTATTTCAAACGATTTATGCAAATTATGAAGCCTTGATCAAACCTATTGTTTGAAAGATACTCCTACCAACTTCCAACAAGGGTCCAATTTCCTTAAAATATTTTGTTTAGAAACAAATATCCAAGAATGACTGGACACATGCTCAAGTAACATAGGCATAAGTTTTTTGTATCCAAAAACCTTTGTATAAATTTGTCGCCATGCATGAGATAATTTCAAACAAATTATAAGAAAGCATACTCTTGTAACTAAATCTTTTCCGTTTCCTAAAAGTGAAGGCATCATGTCAAAGTGGAACAAGTTGAAATAACAAAATTCAATGAAGGTTTACTTCTTAGGGGTATCATGGTATAATTATTACTCATACTCTTGATTAATGAAAGCAACCATGGAGCCACACCTTTCTTGATGCAAATTCAATAGCTTGTTCTTCAAATGCATCAATGCCTTTAAGACGACTTTCTATGATTTCCTGAAGTTGCTGATAATTGTAAGGACCAAAACACAGCCTCTGAATCCCCATTCGGCTTGAGATTCTTGGAAGGAACTTCTCTGGAAGATCCATAGTGTTTGCTATCCCTAAAAGTTATCATATAGAGGTCAGAACTTGAATATATCACAATACAAGAGATAAAATAGTATATTGAAAAACAAGTCCATACTTCATACCTATAACAATCAGCTTTGAGTCTGGTTTGGTAGGCCAGTCAAAAATGTTATACAACACCTGAAATAAACTAAGTCAAATTCAAAAAACATAAGAACTACTGCAATTGGATTGTTCATAAAAATCATAATACATTTTCATGACGCCATGAAATATAGCATTAACAAATGAAGGGAAAAAATCAAAGACTGAGGTTCACCGATTGATTTCTGGTTAATAAAAGATCAAGTTCATCTATAAGCAGAACACAAGGTCGGTTTTCTTCCTTGCCAATTTTGGTTCCCTCAGAGAATAGCTCATTGAGAATGTTAAGAGCTTTCTTCCATCCAACTCTATGCCCACTCAGAGCTTCATAAATAACCTGTATGGTTAAGTTGATCACAACAAAAATTAAAAGCTACTAGAAAATACTGGCTTTGAGATAGCTAGCAGAACTAGACGTATTACAATACCCTGTAAATATTCTCAGGTGAGGACAATTTCAGACCATTAACCTCAACAAAGCAGTACGGCCTCATTTTTCCAGCATCAACTTCAGTCCTAAGGTTTTTCAAGACTGTAAGTACAGTCATAGTCTGCAGGTCGATACAAAAAATGTATTACAAAGGTAAGGAGTTCTTAAGCTTTTAAGTACAAGAAAAGTAAATGAACAAATACAAAAGAAAATACTTCCTAAAATAAAAATATTTCTCTGAGAAATAACAGCAGAAGCACCACATACCTTGCCAGTTCCAGGAACACCATGAATATAAAGACAGCGGCCTAAACAATGGTCTTCGCAAATGGCACCTTTGATAAATAAAGTAATCTCCTCCATTTCCCTGACATGTAATCATAGAATTTGAGATAAAATATCAACAAGGGTCATCAAAAAATGACGCGCATACTTAGTTCTGCAAGGTAGTGTCTTGGGCAAAGCTGTTAGCAATAGCATCGATTTCGCCCGTTCCAAGTCAGTAGGCTTGTGAAGCCTCACATGTTCTGGAATTTTCTTCAATCCTATCTTGTGAAGACCAAATATCCTCCCCCTACGTGAATTCTGAAAGGATTCTGCATGTATAAGCATGTAAACTCAACAGAACATAACAGATTAAGAAGAAGAAAGTAGCTGAAGTGTACTGCAGCTAATTCATGAGTTGGAGTGTCATGACAAGAGAATTTTCCCACTGTGTCATCATCAAAATCCGAATCATCTTCACTATCACAATCTGAATCATTAGAGTATTTCCAATCTTCATCATTTCCAGCCTCTTCATCCTAGCATAAATGAAAATTTTAAAGAGAATGTTCTAAATGTTAGATCATGTGCATATGTTAATTAAATAATGCCTACATTGTCAGTATCAGCAACTTCAGCAAGACGCTTGAAACTGTGCCAGCGAACATCATATTCATATTCACAATAGAATACATCATCCCCCTCATTGTTTGCCTCGGCAAATTCTCTAGGGTTCATGACATAGCAATGCCTGAGGACAGACTCCATCTGCAGACAAAACACAAAAAATAAAATTAACATTACATTAGCAATGCTTTAGGGCTCAAACAGAAGGCATTAGATATTTGTTTAATAGAAGATCATGCTATGAGGAAATCAAATGATAGTTCGTAGTGAACAAGAAGTTGAGCTACTTGATCAAATGGATGAGGAGCTTTATTGGGCAGGAGAGATGAGAATGGACAATAATATTCAATTGTGGCTACAGGCTGGTTCTAAGGAACTAAATGTTTTTATTGCAAAGCTATATAAGAGGCCATCAAAGAACCTCTTAGGCAGTGTTGATGACTTGGAGTCCAGAGCGATGATACCTGGTTCATCCCCTAGCAAAACAGAGAGAAAAAGGGGACAACCACAAGGAGTAATAACAAAAAAAACATTCATCTTAAGTGGAATTTGATGATGAAGATGGAGAAGATTCTGAGGCTAACTCAAAGGAAGGGAATGTGTATTCCTACAAGAGGAAGAAAGAGAAATAGGAAACAATGAATCAAACATATAGCCTCTGACCAAAAATATTTCCATCTTCACAACTTTCAGATGTAAATAAAACTGACAGGTGAAATCTATGACGACGCCTCAAAAAGCTTACCTCAATATCACTGAGATGGTTGGTGAGATAAAGTTCCCTCCGTAAATTGTGAGGTTGTCTACCTGCTGTAGTCTCCTCTGGGATTACATACCAACGACACTTTAACCAGTAGGTACCATCCGGTTCTTTCCACAAACTGCGAACCATCACAAAAGTATCTATTATATACAAAACATCTTTCAGCAAAAAAATCGAAATTAATAAATGAAAACACAAGCGACATATTTAGCTCACAAAGAGCAACCAAAGTTCTCCCAAATGAAATAAAGAAAGTATTCTGACAAACCATATCATTCCCATTAAACAACAGGTTTGGTTTTTAACCTTTCAATTCTCGCAGCCCATAGATCGCTAGAGAGCAGCTTCTCCCTTGCAGTCCTCCTTAGCTTCTTCCCATCTGATGGCCTCGGCAATTTCACCTTCTTCCCCAACTTCCTCGCCTTGCAAAATTCACAAATCCAGTCCCCTTCGGGAACTTTCCGCAAAGGCGGCTTCAGGCATCGAAGATGAAACCCACCCAAGCAATCGTCGCACTCGATCATTATAGATGACCCAATCTCAAAGCAGATCCGGCACTCCTCCGCCTCAGGATCATCCTCATCGGATTCTGCATCATCCCTCCTCTTAACATAAACATCGTCCCCGACCTCGAACACCCCGCCATCGTAAGCCAATTTCTTGTAGTACGACCGCTTCTTGGCGTTTCTCCGCTTCTTCCTTGTCTCAGAGGGGTTAGGGGTGGCCGGAGCGACGGAAGAGCGCTTCGACGGAGTTTTCTCAGGCTCAAGCAGCGAACGTTTCGATTTCATGGCTAATTCAAAGTTTAGTTGCCGGATTAACTAACTCAGGTTGATCGGCGGATTTACGGAGGCCGAGGAAGCGCGCGAAGGAGGAGAAAGATCGTTACGACAGCAACAACGTCGTCGTCCGACGAGGTGAAGAAGCTTTCTTGAGCGACTTACGCACGCGTAGCCGAAGCAGCAGAGAAGGAACCCTAGGCGGGAGATTAGAGGTTAAATAATTTTTTAAATATTTTATTAATTTAATATTTAACTCATAAATAATTAATTATAATATTAAAAATATAATATAATTAGCATAATAAATATGATTTAATTAACTTAATTAAAAGTATAGTGCATTTAGTAAATAAATAATTAGTTATATTAATTGATAAGTAAATTAGATTTTAATTATCTTTTTTTTTTTGCCAAATTATTTTCATGATTTTAACACCTTAGGATTTAGTAAATCTATATTTACAAGATCTACTAAATTGCACTTGTTGCCAAATAGTCGGATTCAATAAATTTTGGCATTGGGTGGATTTAACTTACATCCGTAAGTCTTATGATCTTCTATTCGTCTTCTTCACTTGTCGATTCTTTGCCCACAAGCTCTTATTGTCGTTTACTCCCTTCTTTGTCGTCAAGAATTTTGAGAATTTTGAGGGCTGATACTTAACAAGAAAGATGAGGGTCGCAAATTTTAAAATTAATAATAGGGAAATTTACATACATATCACTTTATACCATCCTATTTAAATATCTAACACCAAAATTTTAATATTACATACATATCATTCTATATTATTTTAATATCAAATATGTCACTCATATTTCATTCCTACCACTCATATATTTCATTTATACCACTCATATTTAATATGAAAATAAACTAAGAGCAGTATGTATGTAATATTAAAATTTTAAGTGTTAAATATATAAATAGAATATTATAGAGTGGTATGTATGTAAATCGGTTTTTAACTAACATTCTGTACATTATAGTGGAGAGAACTTTGTGAGCAAGATAAACAGTGAAGGTGAAAAAATTTTCATAGATCACTAACGAAGTATGCAAGCCAAACGTTAAAGAATAAAAATATTATACATTAAAATATTTTAAATATATTAATTAATATTTTTAAATTATATTTTTAAAGATGTTGTGTAATGTATATATATATATATATTACTTTCTTTAATTGAATTACATAAATTATGATAGAATAAATTTTATTTAACTCTAAATTAAAATATATCAAAGATTAATTTTTGTATATTCATAATTAATGAAATGTTAAAGAAATTCATGCAAATGTGCAAAGGAACTATTTTGTACTATCTGCTTCATTTGTTGCACAATGAAGCATCATACAAATCTCAATACAAAATAAAGTCAGCCAATCTTCAAAGCCTTCAATCTCTAACAATAAAGCCCACTCATCAAGAGATCAGATGTACTTCACATTTTATGATCTGTATCTGATAAACAGTTATAATTCAAAAAATATTATAAAAAAAAAAAAACTTATAATCAACCTTTGAACTTACCATAATATACCCACCAAGGCTTAGGTGTTTGGGGGGCGAGCATGATTGGGAACCCTCCATCCCGGGTTCGAATCCCCTCTACTACGGCCTCGCCTTTTTCAGTGGGACAAAGCAAGTGTAGACCCGATGCCGGTCGGTGGTCTAGCTAGGTTTCACCGAGGAATTAATTACGCAATTAAGCGCTCCCTTTAGAATGGCAGTGAGTAGATATCCCGTTCTCAAAAAAAAAAAAAACTTAGCGGGCAGTGAGTAGATATCCCGTTCTAAAAAAAAAAAAAAAAAAACTTAGCATAATATTTCTTTAAGAGCTCAAAGAAAACCAGAGAAGAGTTGCTCTCCTCTACTGAAATACAGCCAAGCTTGATCAACTCTCCAAGTAATTTAAGCTTTTTTTTACAGTAACATCGTAATGTTACTATATCGAGCTATCTTCAAATCCATATCAGCTTCAAATGCAAGACAGAAGACCATAAAAGACTATGGCAGCAACGATAATATTACTGCAAAAAGAAATTTATTCAAAACTTCTGTAACAGAAAACCAAGTTATTTCTGTCGACAATGGTCAATTATCAGAGGTTACAATAGAAAAACAATATGACCAAGAAAACAAAATCTATTTATATATGAGAGCATCACGGCCTGGACCAACACCAATGTAATGAACTGGAATGCCAACAAGCTCTTCAATCCTTTGCACATACTGACGAGCAGCCAGAGGGAGATCCTCATATTTTCTTATTGAAGAGATATCACATTTCCAACCAGGCATTACTTCGTACTCAACCTATAGTACATGAAACAAGCAACAGTTTTATACAGATGAAGCGTTCAGTTCTGTATGAACTTTTACTGATGTAAGGAAATATTTGAAGATTAAGGAAATAGAAGAGTATTTTCATTCATTTATTCAGTAGGAAGTGGCCTACTTCATTGCTCTTTCAACAAGTCTTTCATTCCCATCTTGTTAGGCAACAAACAACAACATCAAGTCTTTGTCCCACTACATCGGCTACATGAATCTTTTTTCTCCATTGTGTCATGTTAAAAGTCCAATACTTGTTTAAATTTAATAAAGAAATATCATTTCTAATATTTTCTAACCAAGTCTTTTTAGGTCTACATCAACCTTTCTTAACATAAGTCAAATCTAATACCTCTATTTTCCTAACCGGGTCATCGGAAGGCCACCATTTTATGTGACCAAACCATCTAAGGCGACTCTCTCTAATTTTATCTTCCAGTGGAGCTACTCCAACCTATTGTTTGTTAGGCAACAACAATAAGCGTAAATGCCGCTTCCTAATTTTGGCAGATCTATAAATTCTTTAGTTTTATTAATGACCATGATAATATTAAAAAATGGGCATAATGTGGTGGATTGTAACACATCTAATTCTCTAGTGGTATATGAGCTTCATTGTGCAGATATCTTTTGTGCTCCAACAAATGGCTATGAATACCAATAAGATTTGCTATTAAAGACTGCATGTAATAAATTCTTTGGCGATTTACAAAAAAAATCAAGCTTAAACTTGAATGTTGTATACATAAATACTCTTATTTGAAAAGCTTCATTGAAAGACCTTTGCTGCCTCAAAAGAACTCTTCCACCTAAAGAGCACCATGCTCCCTGGAGTAGTGTTAATGAAATCATATTTACTCTCATTAAACGCTTCGCAATAAAATATTAATTTATGTGTAGTTTCTGCAATTCTTTTTTATTAGTCTTTTTTTAGGACATGCCAATGATGATGGCCAAGAAGGGTTGAAAGGTCACATGTTATTTCCTAGCTTTAGGTTAGTTTCTTTGGTTGGCATAATTTCAATATTGATTTAGTTTAAATTAATTTCTCCAAAAAATAGATATTATATCTTCATATTATTTGGAGTATTTAGGGGAATGGGTCGTTTTGAACAACTATGGAATTTGGTATCAGGAAGTAGAGAAATTATTTTGTGCATTTACCGGACTGTCCGGAGACGAATGAGAGTGTGCCACATCACCCGATACCGAGCGGTACACAACAGAGATACACAACAAAAAAATGACATGGTGTTGACCTCATTATTCGAGGTCAATTCCCCTAGAATCCAGCTCCTCTTACTTTTCCTCCTTTGACTCGCTAATAAATGTTCAACATTGAGCTGTCTCCTTGAAAATTCTTACTTCTCTTTCCTTGTCTTTTACTTTGTAATCAGAA